AGAATATAAACTCAACAGAAATCTTTTTTTGGTACATTGATGTGTTCTGAGTGCATAGAACAGATTTAGTAGCACATAATTAATACTGTAAAGATTTATATGTATTTTTGTGCTGTCAGCATAAAGAGCACTCTACAAATGAAAATCAAGAGGTCTGAGAATGTGTGCCCTCTTTGACCTTGCCAATTCCAGACCAGAGAATTTTCCTTAACAGAAGGAAGGAAGAAGCCAGGCATGGTGGATCACACCTGTAATCCCAGCGACTTGAGGAGGCTGGGACAGGAGGATCACAATTTCGACACTAGCTTCAGAAATTAGTGAGCCTGTTTTATTCAGCTTTTTCGCCACTGTGACTGAAGAACCCAACCAGCACAATCACAGAGGAGGAAGAGTTTATTTTAAGGCTTATGGTTTCAGAGGTCTTAGTCCATAGAAGGCAGTCTCCATTCCTCAGGGCTCCAGGTGTGGTTAAACATCATGGCGGGAGAGGGAAGCAGCTCACATCATGGTGATCAGGAAGCAGAGATGCAAATATATACAAATATATCCACCAAAGCCACACCCCAATTTCCACCTCCTCCAGCCAAACCCTACCACTTTAGTTAATCCCATCAGGAATCAACTCACTAATTAGGCTAAGACTATAACCCAATCATTTCTCCTCCAAACCTTCTTGCATTGTCTCACATGTGAGCTTTCGGGGGATACCACATCTAAACCATAGCAGAGACCCTGGATTAAAATAAAAAATAAAAAGAGCTGGGGATGTAGCTCAGCGGTAGAGCACTCCTGGGTTTAATCTACTACAAAAAAAAAAAAAAAAGAAGATGGGTGGAAGGGATGAAAAAACAAAGAAAAAATAGTGAAGAAAAGAAGGCACAAAAAACTAAACTTTAGAAGTTCACCAGGCTTAAGTCAAGGATCCAATTTCAGTATGATGAAATATTTCTTGTCATCAAAATGACAAATTTATAGAAGATGCTACAATTTCATAGTACACAGATTTACATTTTCACCAGAAAATACACTAAGTTGAGTGGGATATGAATTTTCATCTGMAGTTCCAGGGAATAAGACATATGCTACTATTTTTTTGTAAACCAGTGGTTCTCAGAGCATGGTCCCTGGACTGACARCATCATCATCACCAGGAAACTCATTAGAAATGTAAATTCTGGGGTTCTTTCCAAGAAGAAAATGGGGCTGAGTCCCTACAGTCTGCATTTTAACAAGCTTCCTGGAAATTTTTTTKGGGGGGACAGGGTTGGTGGATGGGTCTCTCTATCTGCAGAGGATGGCCTTGAACTTTTAGGCTCCTGCCTCAACCTCCTGAGTACTGGGACTATGGGTGTGCACCAGCGCCTCCCCCCASCTACAGTGCCAGGTGGTTATGATGCACTCTTAAGTTTGGGAACTACTCTCTAAAACAGCTTTTCTCAACCAGAGGCAATTTTGCCTCCAGGGACATTGTCATTATGTGGAGATAGATGTTCTCAGTGACCAAAAGGGGGATGGAGGATGCTATTGGCATCTAGTGGGTAGAGGTCAGGAATCCAGCTAGCATCCTACAATCAACAAATATTAGATAGTCCAAAATGTCCATTGTGCAAATGCAGAAAAACCCTGCTCTAAACTTGACTGTCCAGAAAGTCAAGTCATCTTGACTGTCCAGAAAATTAAATCTTAGCCATTATTTTGGAGATGGGTAGATCTGGGGTAGGGCTTCATCTCCAATGTCAAAGACCAATTTTGGGTTTAGGTATACCTGAGGGAGTAAGTTCTTAATCCAGGTGATCACCCTCATTCCAGAACTCTCTTTGCTGCCTAGTGTGGGGTGGGTTGTTGGGAGGGGGAGTGCTATTTCTCTTGAGGGGTGAGAAAGGAGACTCTCAGCAAACCTGTCCCAACCAAGAAGAATATCTCTCCTGTTGTTGCCACCCACAGGAACTCTCCCACGAGACAATTACCTGAACATCATAGAGTYCCGCCATCCTGTAGTAATGGGCCAAGGTCAAGAGAGATAGCAGGGATCTGTGCTGCCCTCCATTCCCCTCCACTCCTATCTCTTCTCAGTAAATGTCCACCTCCCTGCGTCTTGATCCGCCTTCCCATCTTCTACTTCCTCCCCATCATGAACCACTTTGCATAAACTTGTATAATCAAGGGTAAAAATTGCTTTATTACTTGATAGTTTCAGTGGGTTTGGGAAGCCACATTGGATCATTTTTCCTGGGGTGGGAGCTGGGAGAGGACAAGTTAAAGGAGTTAGTCTTTTTTTCTTAACAATTCTTCTTGCTATGTCATGTACATTGTGTTTAGCCTAACAGCCCATATAATTTGTGTGGCATATATTTAATGTACCTATAAAGCAGCAAACAGAGGAAAAGCTACTCTCTAAAGATCTAATGAAGACAGCCCACTTGCTGATCACTGAAGGAAAAGCCATAAACAGAAAGAGAAATAAGTCATAGCTGCCAGAAAATATTATCAAGGATCTTCTGACCCACTCGTTACGAGTTTCAGAAAAAGTAATTTGGAACATTATGTAGCTGATGAAGGATGCGGTGTGAAATCACAGGGGTTCAATACAGCAGCAACATTTTCTGCTTCTATCTGGGGAACCTAAGGGAAGTCCATGAGTGATTTGAGCCCAGGGATAGGAAAGTCCTGTCRACCATTCACACTCCTTCTGCAGAGCCCAAACAGGAGCCCTGAATGCTGATTCAGTGTATTCTTTCTTTCTTCCTGCCATTCACTCCAGACCCACCCAACACCAAGTTGTGTTCAGCGCCAGCTTCACATTGGCGAACAGAGCCACTGGTTCCAGGCACAAGACATGGGGATGTGTTGCAGAGTGTAGCTCATTTTTTGCATAGCTGTGTTGGTCTTGACTGTGTGAGAATAAACAGGAAACCCACGTTTGGCCATTTCCTGGGCCTGCATATAGACAGCATAGGTGACGAGGCCCTGGGTACGGTACTCGGGCAGGGTACCTCCCATTCGCGTTTCTCCAGTGTAGTCCATCAATGTCCAGGACACCGGGTTCCCCTCAGGCCCCAGCAAACAGGAGCTCGGGAAGTTCCGGAGACAGCGCTCAATGAATTTCTGGCTTCTCTCATTGCCACCAAAATGCCAGAATTGATTCACCAAGGCAGCGTGGGAAATACCCAGGGAGGAGATTTTAAACTTCTCTTGGTTGCTATGGAGAGAAAGAAAGGCCCATGAGGATAAAGGTGTGCATTTGTTCTTACCTCAACAAGCTGGAGAGACAGAGAAGAGGACACAGCGAATGCAAGTCCTAGAGTATGGAGAGCTTGGGATGCCCGGGGACAGAGAGGAGGCCGGCGTGGCCGGAGGAAGCGAGCAAGAAGAAGAAGCTCAGCAGCAGACCCAGGACCCACTCACTCGAGGTGGGGAGGAAGGTAGTCTGTCGGAGTTACTCTTTTTTAAAAGACAATTCTTACCACTTCATGGAACACTGATCCTTTGGAGGAAAGAGAGCAAGCAGGGCGAGAAGGCAGGACCCTGCCGAGAGGCAGAGGAATGAGTAGGGAGAGTTGGCATTTTATCAGACTCACATGGCCTTGGGCTTGCCACCACCAGGTGATAAAGTCTTGGTATCCAGCAGGGAAGGGATTAGTTTCTTGATGGTTTCAGCTGCGATGAAGAGAATGTTCTCTGAGCGTTCGATTTTCAAAGATTTCGTAGCTGCAAGATTTTGTATTGCCTCATTCAGGCTGGACTGGGAACCTAGACGGGTGTATGGGGAGAAGTAATGATGAAAACCCCTTCGAGAGAGAAGCTCTTCACGRGAGTAGGAAATGTCACATGTAGGGTCAGAAAACCATGGTCCTGGGCTTGGTGTTGCCACCATGTGAAGGGTCATCTAGTTTCAGGATTTTTGAAAACTTCCTGTTTTATGTAAATAAAAATAAGTCCAGGGATGAATTCAGACACAGTCGTGTTGTCAGTGGTGATATCAAGATGGGAACAAAGTTTTCTGGGCTATATAATCATGTAGTTTTGATAATCAAAGAGTTGTTAAAAAAAAAAAAAACAATAGCCAACATCTACTGAGCCATGTTCCCAATGTGATGGATTATTTCCGTAATAACACCATTTGAGCTCATCTCCTGGTATCAGTTTCCTGGAAGTGTTCATTCCTGCACTGTGTCTGACATTCAATAAGTGACTTGCATCTACTAATGAAAAGAGCAAATTGAATGCAGAGAAGGCTTAAAGCWCTTGCCCTTGGGGCTTTCCCTCTCTTTTTGATCTTGTTTATCTGGAGACCAATATTATAAAAGTAGCCTAGGCTGGCTTCTAGGAGACACGTGCTTCTATCATGATGTCACTAGAGCCCCAAACCAGCACTGCAGGCAGCCAGAATCACCATTCAGACATGCAAAAGAGGCCATGCTAAAGCAACCATATCTCCCATCAACTCAGGGTGTGTGATATACCTAGAAGASACCAGCAGAGGAACTGCCTGGCAAAGCCCAGCTCAGATGGTTGATTCACTTACTTAGGAGCTTACTTATGCAGCAAAAATTAACTGACACATCTTGGTATTGTACTAAGCTCTTCTTAYTCACAATCTCGTTTTTTGTTTGTTTAGTTGTTTATTATTTTTTTTTAGTGCTCTGTGCTGTACATACCATTATTCCTCTCATTTTTATATGTGAAGAATATAATCTTATGGAGGAGAAGTCACTTTGCTAGAGTCACGGAAACTATTAGGCAGATACCATCCTAGACAGCCTGATTCCAGAGGGCATACTGGGAGATTCTCTATGGCACAATGAATTGCTGTTCTGACTCCAGGAATGGGAGGTGAAACTCTGCTCTGACAACCCCGGTAAGCCCAGTAAGCCTAAGGGTTATCTGTGAAAGATGCCATAAATTCTGGATAATAGGAACTACATTATGGTTGTCCAAATGAAACCCATTCTTTCCCATAGTTGAGGATTTTTTGCACCTTTACAGGTATAGGGTCAAAAAACTGATGGCAAGTGAGGATCTGTTCTTTGAAGGAGAGATGTATGAACCACTTGGGGACTTGATCAGGACTCAGCGGTGAGTCAGCTGATCAGGACTTGATCAGGACACAGTGGTGAGTCCATTCCTCTCACTTACTCTGAATCTGCAAATGCTGTTTCCAATTGATCACTTCTGGAGAACCAAGGAATTCCTGACAGTTCTGGGGATCCTTGGAGTAGACTTGGTAAGTATTGGTGTATTGATCCAGGTCATCTGTCATATCCTATTGTCGTCGGGAAAAGGAGAAAGAACACATTCCTTATAATTCGTGATRGCAATGCTGATTTTTTAAGTCACAAAACATTGCTCTTTTTATTGGTGCAATTGAATYATTTCTGAGTCATTTACATCATCAGATCAAGATCAGAGATTCAAATATTCAATTGGTGATGAAAAATTCCAGAACAATATTATTCTCTACCCTCATGTTACATTGATATTTCCAATCAAACATACAACCATTTAGACAGTATTGTTCTATACTCCAATCATTCTGATCAAAAAAGAAAAGGAAGCAATGAAGGAAAACTTCTGATGCAAAAATACAATTCAAATACTTGCAGAACTCACAGACTAAGAACATGACAGTATTAAATTTAATAAAGATAATGGGATTAATATTTCCATTCATATGTAATAAAATCATACTGGAAATGCTTTCTTTGAAAAATACCATAGTTATAATTGTATTTTGAGAAAAACAAACAAGCCTCATATTCAGAAAGGTCCCTTCAAAGTATTAAACAACAGATAAAATTATTTGGAAAAAGGAGACAGAGGAAAATATTATCACAACGAGGGTAGAGTTAGAAAACTTTAAAAAATTTCGTTGGAAAATATGCTACAAAAAATTCACTCATGAGTCAGCTATGACATTACTGACAAATTTTGTTGCTTAAGATTATATGTAGCCGGGAACGGTGGTGCACACCTATAATCCTGGAGGYCCTGGAGGCTGAGACAGGAGAATTGCTTGTTCAAAGCCAGCCTCAGTAACTCAGTGAGACCCTAAGCAACTCAACAAGACCCTGTCTCTAAATAAAAYACAAAAACGGGCTGAGGATATGGTTCAGTGGTAAAGCRCAATTCCCCAGGACCTAAATAAATAAATAGATAGGTAGATAAATAAATTAATAAAATCTAAGATGATGAATTCCATTTTTAATAGAAAAAAAGAACTATACAAATAAGCCTCAAACTATTCTTTTGTATGTGCCAGTGAATGTAGTTTTTAATAAAACTTGGACCTAAATACTAGTAACTTCAGAAAAGAATTTGGGTGGAGAGGAGAAGGTATTTCATTTAGGAAAAATAACCACTCTCTTTTTTCTAATATTCAACACACACAATTTAAACATACAGAGCTTCTGTAACACTTTAAAAAAATCCCTGTGTASTGAAGCAATAACAAGATCCAACTACAGTTACATTTTTAAACACTGGGTCAAGACTTTACATAAAAAACACCACTGTACTTTTCTCTCCTAAGTTCCTAAAATATTACATACTTTCCTCAACATCTGCAGCCATCCAGGAATTTTTAGGAAACTTATGCACGATCTTAAATCCTAATCCCTGATTCTTTGGGCTCAGTGACAAAAGATCAGAACCACCCAAAATGATGGCTCAGTGGAAGTCAGAGGAGAGACCCTGGCTCAGTCAGCCTCCTAGGTTGAAAGTAGCACTGTGTCAACTGGCTTCATGCAGGACGGGCACAGGGTGGATCTCACCAACCAGTCAACTACACAGTCCAGGTAATGTGCATGCGCAGCAGAAGCCTAACTGGTCTCTATAAGCAAGGTCCGTCGTACAGATCACACACTCCAGGATCTTTTGATCTCTCTCCTCCAGGGTCATAAATTCCTTTAGGTAGGTGCTGTACAAGGCCTATTTTTTTGAACTTCCCTAATTTGTTTCTCTTTTAGTCAGCTCAGTTGCCATCCGAGTCTGGCTAGGTATCGGATGATAAACTGCCACTGGAACTTGTTCCTGATGAGGTGGCAGTGGCTCCTGATCTGCCTCTGTCCCCTCCCCAAGGCTATTGGATAGGATTGAAACTCATGAAGTGGGGAGATAGCATCCGAGGTAGGGGATTGGAGGCACGTTCCCCATCTTCCTAAACTGAGGYGTGTGATCTCTTACCTGTGTGCTGTTCTGACAGTCTTCTCTGTATTTTCATATTCTTTTTGTTTTTATTTTGTATTCTTTGAATACTTTTCATTGGTTTTTTTTAATTATAGGTAAAATTATACGTACTTATGTACAAGATGTTTCCAAGTACAATCACACATTACTTAGCAATCGGGATATGTTGTGAAAAATGCATTGTCAAGAGGGTTTGTTGTGCAAACCTTGTAGATGATGTTTACACAGATGAAAATGGCTTAGCTGTGGTGAAGGTACTTTTGTGCAAGGATAGTCATTCAAATGGGTGTTTCTAGAGGGGGATGGTTGCTGGAGACACCTGTTCCACATTCTTGCTTCACCTAATCCCCTATTTTTTGGAAATTTTAAAATAAGCATATGGATTTTTATCTTTTAATGATATTAACTATTTAGTTTTGTTAATTTTAGGTCTTTCCCTTAGCTGCATATGGAAACTCTAGCATTGAAACTTAGTGCTTTAGAGTTAACCTGACACATTGTGCTCTATCATATTTTCATAGTCCCACCCTTTTGATTATCTCTGGTGAGAACATATTCTTTCCATTCTTGGCCTGACAAAAATATACTTACCTACAAAATCAAGTTTAGATGAAACCTCCAACCAAAAGTGTCTCTATCATTACTCTGAAGCCTCCTCCTGGAGCCTCCATAGTAAAAGTTAATCAATTTTACTTGAGCTATTTCTGTTCCATCGTATCTCACACTAAGTTGTAATCTTCCTGTTTATCGGTCTTTTCCTTCAGGATGTAACATTATTGAGAATGGGGACTTGTTTGACATCACCGTGATGGACTTCTGTATCTCTAGGTTTTACACACTGCCGGATACATGGTAGGCACAGAGAAAATATGACCACCTGGCACCTTACCTGTTCCTGAGGGCGGATAACCACCGTATTGAAATCAGGCCATTTGTCTACTAAAGCCTTTCGGTTGAATGGGTTTCCATGGTTCATGTGAAATACAGTCCCATAAACCTGCAGGATTCCATGGAAGAGAGGTCAGATAACAGAAGGGAAAGGCAGAGTGTCCTGTTTGATCAGGACAAAGGTCACTCCTATACATTGTGACATTATGGAAGTCAAATGAGAATCTATGTCAAACAATCTCCATCTTCTACTTTTTTTTAACTTCAATTAATAGGAGCTTTTTCTTTCCATTAAATATTAATCATAGGTCATGTAGCAAAAATATTTGCACAAATAAAATGAATGACTTTAGGAAAACCATCCTTTACTATAGGATTTAGTATCGTGTTTTTCCAAACTTTCTTCTGTTTATACACAGAGGCATACAATTATAAAAATGAAATTACTGATACTTGTTGTTTTGCCCACTGAACATATTATAGACATATTTTTAACCTGTTTTCAATTTTTTGCTTTCACACCTAATTCTTCCTGGAACATGCTTGCCCTGCCATGTTGTACAGGTTATAGGGAAAGAGGATGAAAGAGAGAGAYCAGGACGAATGAGAGCAAAGCTGTAAACAGTTCAGTGTCCTTGTAGTTCTGAGGTTGGAGAAAGCAGTAGCAGATCAACACAGACCTCATGAAAATTGTGAAGATAAGAGTTCAGCAGATATCAGCATGAAAGTAGGCTAGTGACCCAAGATCAAAGGGGTGCAGTACACTTGATTGATTCCCAGGATGAATAGACAATGGCCAAAACTATACCAGTATCCTACCCTGCTGCCTCCTTTCACCCCATGTGAACTACTGATATTAGACCAAGGAAAAGAGAAGACATACAACATTTCTAAATTATTTAAAATTAAATGATTAGTTAAACTAAGTTGTAATTAACTAGACTAGACTTTTTTTTTCCTACTGAACTCAGAACATAATGAGTGGAACACAGTGAGGCAG